CATCTTGCCAACAAATGTTTACCGTTACCCGATAGAGCAAAACTGGCATCAAGTTGGAGAATATATATAACAAGGAGTTTGAATACCTGCATACGACGGTCACACATCACTTCGAAGAGGATCGTCGAGCGTTGCAAAAAGCAGAGGATTCGATAAACCATGATGGGAAACGATTTTGCATTAGATTAACGTGCAAAACCAAAACAGAGACCCGAACAACCTTAAACAACAACCAGACCGAACAACTGCGAGCTAGTGTTTCGGGGGCTAGGATGCCTGAAACGCAGGTTCATGCGAGGTCCAAATTTATTTTAAAGGTATAATAGTTTATTGAACGATCATTTTCGAAAGTGCTATTTTGCCCGCGTACCTAACTATCAACTGAAAGTCGCGTTCAGACCCAGGTGGTACTTTCTACATTATTCGGTGGTAAATCCGAAGAAACCTGAAAAGGTTGGAATAGTCTTCGATTGTGCAGCCACCTATCAAGGAGTTTGTCTTAACCCACACTTACTGTTAGAACCAAATACCGTAGCTAACTTAATTGAAGTATTACTGCGCTTTCGCTTAGGCAAAGAAGCTGTAGCAGCAGACATACAAGAGATGCTTTTGTAGGTTAGAGTGCCTGAACGTGACGCGGGAGCATTAAGGTGCCTATGGTGGCCTGATGGAGATATCAATCAACAACTAAAGGAATATAGAATTCAGGTCACCCATTTGGTGCCATCTCGTCGCCATTTTGTGCGAACTACGCCTTATGCTGCACGGTTGATTCATTCACAGACATAGGCAATGATTGAGTGAGATGTGCAATTGGACGAAATGTTTACGTCAACGACTGTTTAGCATCGTTTGACGATGCCAAACAAGCAATGCCCTTCGCGGATCAATTAACAGTAGCGCTTGGCAAGGGAGGTTTCCGGCTATGCAAGTGGTTGAGCAACTGCAGCGACGCTATGAGCAATATTCTGGAGAGCGAAAGGGCGGTTAGTTGTGCACAGCTAAATATGAATCCAGCTGCCCAAGAGCCCACTTTAGGCATGAATTGGCTAATCGTTGACGATGCTTTCGTTTTCCCGTTTGAAGCAATTGGGAAACCATTCACTAAAAGAGGGTTTCTATCGTATGTTGCTTCTCTGTATGACCCCCTGGGTCTCGTCACTTTAATACTTCTGACGGGTAGAGTATTGTTACAAGCACCTCATCGCAAACCCCTTTGATAGGATGAACCAGTAGGCGAGAATGACCGGCGCAGTTGGGAATCCTGGGTTATTGAGGTCAACAAATTGAAGGAACTAAAGGTGCCGAGATGTATGGGGAGTGAAAACCAAAGAGCCCGTTAGTCAGCGCAAATGCACATATTCCGTGACGCGTCTGAATCAGCTTACGGGGCCACAGCCTACTTGAGAGACGGCATAAATGGTCATGTTGTATGTAACCTCGTTATGACTAAATTTCGCGTGGCTCCACTTAAGGCAGTTACCATACCTAGACTAGAGCTGGCAGCTGCCGTTGTAGCGATTAAGTTATGTGATACCATAAGCCGGGAGTTGGATATTTCAAAGGGGTCTATATTCTACTGGACTGACCCAACAATTGTGCTTTATTAAATAAACAACAGATCAGCTCGTTATAGCACATCTATAGCCAACCGATTGGCTATAATACATGAAAGCTCAACACCTTAGCAATGGTATCACGTAAAGGGAACAATAAATCCTGCAGACCATGGCACTCACGGTATGAAGGCGGACAACCAGAAGTGGGAAAGTTGGCTTCGAGGGCCACCATTCCTGAGAAGCTTAGATAAGATTCCTCCATTCAAATTGGTCTCCGCTGAAGAAATTGAAGGGCAGATTGAGCTTAAGCGCAAAGTGACTATCAAACAAACAACTGTCACGATGAGCGTCAGTTTATTTTCTTATTATTCGCATTGGTATAATCTGTTGCGAGCAACAGCTTGGTTGAGGCGCTTTACACCATATATCAATGTACTGTTTGGAAAGAAAGGTATTTTTTCACTACGAGTGGGTAGACTTTCGACAGAAGAGATTGAGCTTGCATGCGACAATGTTGTGCGTCTAGTTCAAACAGAATCGTTCTCAGACGATCAGGTTTCGCTAATGGACCCTAAGGGCACGCGCACAGCGATAGCTCCCTACGTAAATTGTGCCCAAGTTTAGTAAATGGAATCCTTCGAGTTGGTGGCAGACTGCAATACGCGCAAGACACCCAGCTATCCTGCCCCCAAGATATCTTGTAACCGAACTTCTCATCCTTAACTTTTATGAGAAAGAAGGTCATGCAGGGCCCGTGCACATTATCTGTTATCTGAAATTAGGAGGCAATTCTGGATAACCAAAGGTGGTGCAGCAGTAAAGAGAGCTCTGAGCAAATGCATTCACTGTCGTAGGCAACTGGGTAAGCCAGGGTGTCAGCTAATAGCTTCATTGCCTATAAATAGAATGATTAGCCAATTGCCACCATTCCACTCGGTTGGTCTAGACTATTTCGGGCCATTTCATATCAAGCAGTGCCCTTCCGTGCAGAAAGGATACGGATGTATCTTCACCTGCATGACCATGAGAGCAGTACCTCTAGAGGTAGCGCACCCATACTCAGCGGAATCATTCATCACGGCCCTGGACCGGTTCAGAGCTCGCAGAGGCAAACCAGAACACATTCAGCAATAATGGATCGACTTTTGTCGGAGCAACCAATGAACTACGGGCTTGTTTGCGATCTTGGTCTCAGGATAAAATACATAATCATCTCCTTAAGGACGCGGTACAGTGGCACTTCAACCTTCATAACGCCAGCCGTAGAGAGGGAGTTTGGAAATGGCTGATTAGATAATAAAGAGAATACTGACCGCAATCTTCAGTGCAAAACAGGTGACCGACGAAGTGTTACTGACGGTCCTGGTAGAGGCCGAACGGATAATGAATAATAGACCGCTCGTTCCACAATCAGTTGATCCGCAAGCTTGCAAGGCACTCACGTCACAGATGTTGCTGACTATAGGGCGGTGCGATTCGAGTTCTGAGGTGAAAACCACGCTAGACCGTTATAACCGTAGGTGGCGAGAAGTGCAGGATATTGCAAATTGCTTCCGGAAGCGATGGACCAGGCAATACTTGCCATTACTTCAAATCAAATTCAAGTGGTATACAACAAAAAGGAACTTTCAACCGGGAGATTTAGTGATGGTGGTAAAGGAAGGCAAACCCAGAAATCAGTGGGATTTGGATCTCATACAAAAAAAAGGAAAAAGCGAAGATAGAATGGTGAGAGAAGTGGAGGTAAAAATCACTAGTGGATCGTTCAGAAGAGAACTCAGAAATATCTGGTGTTTTAACTTGGAGGAGCATTTATTTTATGCGCTAACCAAGTAGCTAACCAGGTAGCAGTGACCACTTTCTCAACGAATTTCATATCAGCACACTGATCCAGCTTCGAAGCTGGATCTGTGGAACACAACCTACTTTGGTACATACTTTTATAAGTATTGTGACCCAATATTCCTTACCCCTCATCCATCCGCTTTGGTTTTCCTCTGACTCAATTGACTCACCCTCATGGCACATGCTAACCAGGTAGCTGTGTCTACTCTATCAACTGATGTTCTACCATTACGCGTATCCAACTCCATTTTGATTCTGTAAAACCAGACATAATTTTACAACATCCTTCCACCAGTATTATGACCTAAGCACCCTGCTTGATTAGAATTTATCGTTTGCTTCTTGCTATTTCTTTCCCTAATCCATTCTCAGCTGGGCTGCACCCCAGACTGCCGATGTTCGCCTTCCTATTCCAGATCCGGTTCGTTTGGGCCTGACGAAGGCTTGGGGTCTACACCCGCAATGGACAATTTGGCACGGGCAATGGTTGTTGGGCGCTGCTGTATCCACCGCTTTGACTACATGTGTCCGCATTCCAGACCAGGTAGAGGAACGCATCCCCTGCCTCATCTACAAGGTGTTCTAAGGTTGGGTGCCTAGCGTCTAGTCAGTCCCACATCAAAGCGACCGTCACCTACATGGTGTTTTAAGGTTAGGTGCCTAGCGTCTAGTCAGTCCCACATCAAAGCGACCAACCGCCTAAATAACGTAAATAACCCAAATCAATCCACTGCTGATCGGAGCCTCTGAGACCATCGAACGAGATCCTGCAGAACTCATCTGTTTCACAACGTGAAGTGCATTTACATTCCATGACAGTTTCACTCTGTTCTGCTTCAACCTATCCCCTCTTGTGCCGGTTCCCGTCCAAAGATCTGCAGGCCTCTTGTTATTTTACTCACTGCTTGTCGCGTTTCCAATCATCCCACCATTCATCTGGCATAACAATGCTTGTTTTTTGTTCTACTTCCACCGACTTGCTCTCTGAGAGCATTCCGCCATCCTTAACCTTCTTTTATCTGTTACCTTGTCCACTCTGTGTTCCATTTGTAATTATGTTTACTGCTACCTTCAGTTTTTTTCCTTTTGGGTCTCTCCTGTACGGAGGATTAGGTTGTACATTTGATCATGCCTGTGCATACCTCACGGGGCTCCGTGAAATATACACTTATTATTATTATTATTTCAGCGGCCACTCCAACCGCTCCTGGCCGGAATCGATTGAGTGGCTAAATTTGGTCCTTGTAACAGTCATTAAGGAAGAAACCATCGTGTCGTGCCGCACAATCAAATACCACGCGTATGTTCCCTGGATTTATAGGCTTTATTACATGGTGGCCTGGCAAATGTCACAGTCGCTAACCGCGTGGGTTTGACGCGTTCATCTGCTCTATATATCCAAGCTGCTCGTGCCGTTGCATTGCTGCAGTGTACTGCCGACATAGTTCTGCGTTCCGGGCCAGTAGCCTTTTAAGTTAATCCATTCTTTTCAAGAATACCCCATGGTTGTTCGGCAATCGGGCATATCCCATCTTCCATTTCAACGGCACCTTGAACCCGTCGGACTGGCAACGTGTCCTCCATTTTGACTATCGCTAGTGCCTGTAATGAGAGGGAAGGAGGAGTACAGCGAAATCATACATTTGTCAAAGTACATGTTTTTCCGTCTGCTGCAACACAGCTTGCTTCTGAGAACACAATCATTGGGTTCGGGGCTGCAATCGGTAATGGATTGATGTAATAATAATAATAATAATAATAATTAGTGTATATTTCACGGAGACCCGTGAAGCATGCATAGGCATGATCAAATATACAACATAATCATCCTTATATGAGAGGCCGAAAAGAAAATCTTTGAAGGTCGTATTGAACATAATTACAAATGGAACACAAAGTGGACAAGGTATCAGAGAAAAAGGTTCGAGATGGCAGAATGCCCCAAAAGAGCAAGTCGGTGGAAGTAGGACGAAAAACAAGAATCGTTA